ACCCTAAACCCTAAACCCTAAACCCTAAACCCTAAACCCTAAACCCTAAACCCTAAACCCTAAACCCTAAACCCTAAAACCCTAAAACCCTAAAACCCTAAAACCCTAAACCCTAAAACCCTAAACCCTAAAACCCTATAACCCTAAAACCCTATAACCCTATAACCCTAAAACCCTAAAACCCTAAAACCCTAAAACCCTATAACCCTAAACCCTAAAACCCTATAACCCTAAAACCCTAAACCCTAAACCCTAAACCCTAAAACCCTAAACCCTAAACCCTAAACCCTAAACCCTAAAACCCTAAAACCCTAAACCCTAAACCCTAAACCCTAAACCCTAAACCCTAAACCCCAAACCCTAAACCCTAAACCCTAAAACCCTAAACCCTAAACCCTAAACCCTAAACCCTAAACCCTAAACCCTAAACCCTAAACCCTAAACCCTAAACCCTAAACCCTAAACCCTAAACCCTAAACCCCAAACCCTAAACCCTAAACCCTAAAACCCTAAACCCTAAACCCTAAACCCTAAACCCTAAAACCCTAAAACCCTAAAACCCTAACCCCTAACCCTAAAACCCTAAAACCCTAAAACCCTAACCCCTAAACCCTAAAACCCTAAAACCCTAAAACCCTAACCCCTAAACCCTAAAACCCTAAACCCTAAACCCTAAACCCTAAAACCCTAAAACCCTAAAACCCTAAACCCTAAACCCTAAACCCTAAACCCTAAACCCTAAACAAGTCAGATTACGTGTATCGTGTCACCAATGTCATGTATTAGAAACACATCCTACTCGAACACCTGGATTTTTAGCTCTGCCTTTCTCCAATTGCTCTCCGAGCCGCTAATTTGTCTGCTACAAAAGCTTTCTCGGATTCATCTTGAATTTCTCTTGTTTTTTTATCGCTAGATTTCTAAAACGACCAATTCTCGATTCGAGTCCTGGAAATTGCGAATAACCGCACAGGCAACAACTCCGCATACGCATAGAATAGTAAGCTCGCTAAACTTGTTAGAAATTCATAAAATTTCAATGATTTAATTACATTATTTTACACTTACAACAGAAAAATCAAAACGAAACTTTAAAAAGAAAAAAAAAAAAGTGAATTGGTATCAGCCTAATAGTGGAATCAAATTGCTATTTTCAATGTCACAAAATCGAGCATCCCCACTTAAGTCGTCGGCACAATCCCCACATACATAAACAGATCGAACAAGCAGTAGCTGATCATCCAAGTACCTCGGTAATAGGCCGATATCCTCCTCCCCGTCATCGCCAACCTTCTCCGGGAGCGCTGATCTGCAGCCGCCTTCCTCACATCGCCGCAACCGTTCGCTTTCTGGGGAATCGCGAAGACATATCCTTATCCTGTGACGAGCAAGGCGGATGCAGAGCTCTATGGCACAGATGATGGGGAAAGTAGCGCAGAAAATGGGAACGAGGAGGGGGGAACAAAGCAAGAGAATGAAAAAGCGGCTCCGACTGGGACGAAGCCAAAAAGAGGCGGCGGCAGCGGCGGTGGCTAACATGATGACGGGCTGATTTGCAAGTAAAACCGGAAGCTTGGGGATCGAAGACATCGGGCTTAGAAGATGGACTTCATGGTGTGAGGAGGGGGAGAAGACAATTGAGGGGATTGGGGCTATGGCTGGCAGTCAGGGTTGTGGGTCTTCACGATGAAGATGCCTGTTCCTCTTCAGACCCAAACCTAAACGCTCTCTGTTGTTATACAATTATAATTTAAGTAATTAATTATTTGAAATTATGGTTCGAATGTGGAGCAATATTTAATTATGCTAATTATCGCTTTGATATTTTAATTAAGAATTTCTTTTCCTTTGTATTCTGTTGGATTACTTTTATACGCATTGGTAAAATAATGGCTAGTAACGTGGTGAAATAAATATAACAAGATGATATTCATTGGAGTATCAGACATCATATTTGATAATGGTACTATTACTTTTAATTCATTTTATCTTAAAAAGTAAATTACAAGTAATCATATTCAAGTGTGATATGAAAGTAATTTCTAAAAAAAAAAATTAACAAACAATCTGTTTTACCAACTAAGATTCTTCTATTTCTTTTTTAGGCTTGCAGTTGTAATCCCTTTATTATTAGTTTGAATTTTTAGCGTTTCCAATGATAATAGTTTTTATTAAATGTGAATATATTTTCAAATTAGTTTTTTTGAAATAAAGAACCAACTTAATTTTGATAAGTGTACAAGTTCAGACAACATTGAGCCATGGGCGCTTCTCAACTCCACTAAAGGTTCTACGGTTCTGCTAGTGCTCACCCCAAAGGCCCCACAACAGAGAACACATCTCAACTTACCCCAAAAAAAAATCTATCCTTCTCACGAACGACAGAGGGAGGAAGAACTCCTTGATCCATCTCCCTTTAACATCTTTGTCTAAACCACAACTAACTTCAAGTCCCTTCAACCACAGAAACCATATCTATTTCTCACAACTCCATCAACAATATTCGTTCTTCCAAGGATAACCTGCTACATGAAAACTTCAATTTTCTTGTTTGGAAATTTCACTTTTCACAAACCAGAAAAAATAGACTCACGAGGGGGGCAAGGATTCAACAACCCTCAAAAAATGAACGCCAAGAAAAGCCATCAAACAGGCTACAGTTCTAGCAACCAAAACCTCTGCTCCTAGGAGGGAACTCAAAACTCCTCCATTAATTAAAGAAACGACCACCGCCCCCTTATCCAACAACGTACGAGGAAATCTGCACGATCGTACAAGTTGTAGGGAGATGGAGAGAAACAATGGGAGCTAGGAGGAGCAGCGAATTTTTAAGCTTGATTTATATGGGCATAAGGAAATCCAGGTTAATAAATATGAACACCCTATACATATCTCGTATGTTTTGTAAGATTCATCATAACCAAGAAAGCTAAACTTAGTGATGTACACAGCTAAATTTGTAAGTATGATATGGTCGGAGACGTGACAAACAAAGACCATCCACTGTCCTGTCTCCCCCTTGTTTCTCAATGTTATACAAAATATAAAGTTACTAGTACACAACCTGGGTGAAGTCCATCCAAACCTTTATTATCATTTATTACGAACAAAGCTGTTTAGAGTTGTTGACTGTCTAAACAGATCGAATTATGAAATTCACTGAGACAGTTTATAGAGAGAGACAGACAAGCAAAACGGAATTAAGGAAATACAGTGACAAAATGAAACCTCAACACACCATCAACAAGATTTACAACTCCAAAAAAAGAAAAAAAAAGTGAGAAACAAATGAGGTAAAATAAAACACATAAAATGACCAAATAACAAATGAAGAATTCGAATTTATGCAAATAATATGCGATGGCATAACAAACAAGCACTAAGATACAGACTGAATGATTGCGCTAATATATTCAAAGATGCAAAGGTAAAATCAACGGAGGTAAGGCGCCTTACGTGTTTCTTTTTTCCCTTCTCGCAGGCACCGATATCGGGGCTAGAATGCTTCACTCTCTTAAAACCTTGACCTTGAACCTATACAGGAGCTTCTTCTTCTTAGAGGTTGGATTGTCAATAGTAAATAACAGTTTTCCCAGTTCAGAGACTTTGAAACTTTGAGAGATTACTGGTTCATCAGTTGCGGCCATTTTTCTTGCCTTTTGTATTATCACAGCGTATGCTTCTTCGGTATTAGGCACAAATTCAGCACTGTAGCTCACCTCCCATCCCACAACACGTAGCTCCCAAGCAATAATGCACTTCTGCAACGCAATGAATATCTCAATCACACACAGAATAAATACTCCTATTTGGTACTTTACCGAATATTACACAAACGCATGGATAGAAAGTAAAGAAAGGCTTGCATACAAAGAGCATAAAGCATGAAATACAGAGACAAAACACGTCTCTCTATCACACCTCATAAATTATAATTTCAACAGTTTGCTTAGTTGATGGTTTTATTGAGACTTCCGTTGCTTGATCAGAAGCATCGAAATCTGGGTTGCAATCACAATAGTCAACGCTCAAGCCACCATACTCGATTGGAACTTGTTCGGGAGAAATGTATCTGCATTGGTAGATCATCATACCCAACTCAGGAAAAACAATTAATACATAAAACAAACTCTTTCTTTACTGACTTGAAAAGGGTCTCGGCAGATTTCGTAGGCCCTACGAAGATAAACTTGCTTTTGGTCCTCTGGGTTAGAAACGGGCTGATCATCGTATAGAATGCAAGATACCACCAAGGAACGTTGATAAATACCTTATGAAGGTCCATTCAATACAATAATCAAATTTCAACCAAATCAAGTAAATATTATTCTACGAATTAAGAAATCAAGATCCTAATTCTCCTCAACTATATGTGATGAAGAAAATAGTTGAAGACATTGTATAAACCTGTTTGGCTACGAATTCGGGATAATTGTCTTGAAGCACCTGAAGAGCCTGTTTAGTGGCCAATCGAAGCTCTCGCTTGCCAGGACCAGGGGAGTTTTTGAGGTCATTAACCTGAAATAAAGTAGAAATACCTCCAGGATGAAAATCGAGTTTCCTAATACTCCTTTCTAAGAACTGAATCCTCCAACGTAAGAACTTTGTCCGCTTTTCCTGGTCGGAAAATGTTTTTGTATATAAATCATTGTTCTGGAACTCTCCGAAGACATTGTAACACACTGGATGACCCTCCCTGCTGTATCCATGCATATACACCACCTTCTCCAGATCATCCCCCAGGTTCTCGTCGACAAGTGAATCGATGCCAAACTCCTCCCTCCACCTAATTGTGTTTTGAAACATAAGGAATGCATCCCTCACTTTGAACTCCCTCGCCCTTAAAAACTTCAGGAGGATCACATCCGTCCGGTCATCTTCAAAAAGAGGAACCCCCCAAATTGACAGCTTCTTCTCAGTTTGAGCTGCCTCCAGGACTTCCTGTGCACGATTTTCCTTAACTACGGAATTTTCTTCGACAAGTTGCCGCAGTTCCTGAAGGGCTTTCCTCTCGGAATCTGCAAGATCAGCCACTTTGTTACTTTCCTCCTTGAAAGAAACCAAAGTCTGAGGAATCTTCTGCTCTTCAATTGTATTGGATTTAGTAGAAGATTCAACACCAAGGACGTCCTTTCCTGCATCGGAAAGTTTTGCCTCTTCCTCAAAGTCACGTTCGGTAGATCGAGGTGGTGGCTGCAGTGGCTCTTCTTTCTCCACCACTGCTGTCGGAGGAGACAATGAAACCAGTTCCTTTTCAGCAGCTGCACACGATACAGGCTCGACAACAACGTCTGTTGGTGGAATCGACTCTTTTTCGGGTAGAGCAGGAGAATTAGCCACCGCCAGCACAGATTCTACAGGAGTGAGCGGGGGTGGGGGATCTTCTTCCTCGGTGCTAGATGGTTGGCGATCGGCGGGGGGTGCAACTGTCGGAATGTTGTCGGCCATCAAAACAAAGGCGTAGAAGTGAAACGAATCTTAGTTGGAAAGGGAAAGACGAAAGGGGGCGCTAAAAATTTGCAGTCTTCCTTTCGGTGGTCTTTGGTAATTTATTATGTGAACATAGGTGAAATCCGACCTCGCAACGCCATGTGAAAAAGAAAAAATGAAATGAAATAACAAAAGAAAAAGAAACTCCCTCAATTACATCTATTTCTTTGGGATTTAAACTATTTTACTCAACAAATATTAAAGATGATTACAAGATAATGTGCACTTTTGCGGAAACTATTCACTGGCAGCTCTTTATGGATCCACTTCTAGTCGATCCTCCACCACAAGGAGGAAATCAACAAAAGGGTAGCATAACGAAATAGTAAATTTTTATAGTTAATAACAATGATATTCTACCTAAATAGAGAGCACTCCAAATATCACATATCACACATGAATGGGATGGAGTTAATAAATATTCAATTAAATCAATAAGAACTTTCTTGATTCACACGTTCCTTTTTTTTTAAGGTGTTCAAACTTTTTTAAAGGTGATCAAGTAATTTTCATCTTTTAAATAGAAATCATGAACAGAAAATTTAAAGAATAATTTGAAGACAGTAAAAAAAAGTTAGATAATTTTGATGCCATTTATACCAATTAAGTTGAAGATTTTCTAAACATCCGTACAGCACCTGATTAGTGTTTGGTTTAGGGGAGAGTATTGTATTACAAGATAATAAGAAGAAAAATTAGAAGAAGAAGAGTGGTGTAGAATAAACGGTGGAATATGGATAACATTGAGAATTATAAAGTTGAGAGAAAGGAGGAGAATTGACAACAGTAAAGCCCAAAGAAAGGAAGATGGCGTGGTGTGGCAGCTCTGTCTCAAAGAGCAACAACAGCACCTTCCCGTTCCCATTCCCACCCCATGGATTCGCCATACTGCCACAAAATAAAAGTAGAAGTAAACCATCCAACATCCCCTTCGCTGCAGCGCCAAAATTTTCGCTGCCCAAAAGGTGCCAAACGTGTGGAGGTAAAGGGGCTATCGATTGTACCGGATGCAAGGTTACCCATCCCATCCTTCTCAATTCTCAATTCACTCCACATTTAACATCTTCTTCTCTTATAATACCTTCATGTGTTTGCTTTCAACTCAATTTCAGGGGACTGGGAGAAACAAGAAAAACGGAAACATCTTCGAGCGTTGGAAGTCATTCACTCACTCACTCAATCTCTTACTTTTGTTCCAACTCAAACTAATTTAAATTCATCTATTCATATCCTTTCATTTTGCTTGTTTCAGATGTTTCGAGTGCCAAGGATTTGGATTAAAGAGCTGCCCTGACTGTGGAAAAGGAGGACTCACCCCCGAACAAAGGGGAGAAAGATAATGCACTCGCACCAGTTTATATTTATCTACTTCAACTTGTCTATTTTCTAATGTGATGCATTTGCATTGTATCATATATATATATATAGTTTCCAATTCTAAGACTTCACTACATTTTGTTCTAAAAAGTACTGCTTCTCGTTTTAAATTTTGATAAAAGTAAATTATGGTTCTTTGCAGGAAAAAAGTGGTTGTGATAGAAAAAGAGAGAAGAAAATAAATATAGCTAAACTAGAGGCTGTCATATTCGAACTCCATCATTCATTTGTTCTGAAAATATTAGTCAGCTTGACCGATTCTCGTGGAGAGTTATTTGTGAGCTATTTCTTGGAAACATAGAATTAAGGTGGCCGGATATTCCCGACTCTCGATCGCATCTCTGCCATTTTTCCGGAGCAAACAAATTAATTAAACTAAAATCCTATCCTACGACGGTAGCAATGGATCCGTTTCGAGGACAAGGCGGCACTCAGATGCTATTAGTCGCGAACAAGATGCACAGCATGTCATATCCAGCGCTAGAAACAGTAAACCATTAATCCCTCCACTTCGATTTGTTTCTGTTTCCATTCACTTCGAGTACTATACACACACACACACATATATATAGTATTCGTGGATGACTGAATAATTTGTGAGTCGCTGGAAAGAAAAGTACCATTCAATATTCAATTTGATTTTGAAAGGAAATGGAAGCGATTGAAAGTGTGTTGTACTTGTATGGTAGTTTGTATCTAATCAATAATATGGTTCCTTAAAGAGGAGGACATACACAATGCAGCCTATAGCAAAGAGAATGATAAGGATATCCAAGGTAAGAGCTGTGGTGGCCTGATCACTCAAGTCCATGTTCCTTCCAGCAAGGCGATCGACCATATCTGGAGTGGATTTCCAGTTCTGCAGCTCCTGCTCGTAAGGATCTTCCAACTTGATCCTTAGCTTATCAGCTTGGCGGCTTGCCTCTTCTTGAGCAAGCGTCCAGTCGTAGAACTTGCGGCTTTCTTCGTTGCTGAGGACCTCGTACACTTGTTTTAGTTTCATAAATTTGTCGGACGCAGCTTTTAGAGGGAGAGATGTGGTGTCGGGATGGTATTCCTTTGACAATCTCCGATACGCACTTTTTATCTCTTCTAGGTCAGCCTCAGCACCAACTCCTAAGAACCTGTGCGCATATATACACAGAACAAACCACGATACCAACATAAATCAAATTCAAAACGAAATTAACGAAGCATATGCAGCCAGCTAGCCAAGCTCACGTACTGGTAATGAGAGTCGGATGAGTTATTGAGCAAATCGGCAAAACTTGGACCCAACGCATTATTATTCTGCTCCTTCTGGTCTCGCCGGGATTGGGAAGGCGTAGGGCCTCCAATCCAACCTTCTTCATCATTTTGCCAATGAATTCTTGTGTCGACGCCCGGTGGAGGCCTTTGGCGGTTGTTGGGAGGTTGGGATGCGTAGACCGGCCATGTACGGAATGTGCGAGCAGGCGAGTGGAAGGTTCTATTCAAGAAGAGAGAATTGGGAATAGGAGAGGCCATGGCCATGGAACGGAATGAAACGGAAGCAAGGTTAAGAAAGACTTTAACTCAAAACCACTACCACTGGTTTTGTTTCAATGGATGAGATACCTACACCAGCTGCTGCCGTTGCCTTTGCCTTTGCCTTCGTCTTTTGTGGGGCCTTCAAAACCCGTTGTCCACACTGCCCATTGATAGCGAAAATTTTGTTTAATTCGCATAAAAGGAAGGCCCTACACTTTTAAAAATAATCATTTTTTGTCCTACAACTTTCCTTATGTCTATATGAATCACGTTACTTTTTAAATATAATCATTTTGTTCCTAAGACTTATTTCATAAGTTTAGTCCTTGTACTTAATTTCAAGTTATACAGTGCAAATATATGCTCACATAATAAAACAACGGTAAGAATTAAATGGTCAATTTCTAAAGTTGAGGAACTAAAATAAATATGTAAAGTTGATGCCAAAATAAAACATACCTAAAAACATCTAAAGAGAGATCTTTTGAAAGCTTAGGAATAAAAACGGAACAAATTTGAAATAGTAAGATGGAGAAGAAAAGCAGATATCCAATCCACCGCCCCACCCCTCCTCTTCTGTGATTATTGACATTATGACTCTACTGCCATATCTGGAAGAACGTTCTATGCTTACCCATTTACTTCTAACAATCTTCCTTTCACAATATAGTAAAGAAACTTCAGAAGTTAGCTCTCGAAATCATGAGATAAGTCTGCCAATAGAATCATACCCGGCATAGCATGCAAGGGAGTTTTTAGTAAGAGCAACAGCTTCGAATATTTCAAACGAGTTACATAGGAAGATGTTAGCTTTTACAGTCTCATCCTCTGCTGCCTATATAAGAGGCCTTACCTTAAGTCGTTCTCTTTTTCTGTTTCATTCTTCCAGATTTTTAAATTCAAGGTACAAACATGATCCCGTTCTCCTTAATGGTATCAATAACAATACCAAGCTTACCTTCAATTCTTTCATCCTTCCTAGGCTCGTACGACATTGCATATACATCTGCTTCCTTTGATCTCTCTGCAATAAGCTTCCCTATTACTCTACATGCATTGTGATCCGTAAGTGACGGTAAACTGTTCCTAAGATCCTTTGCATTTGTTGTCGCCACTGATATTACCTTGCTTGTTCCTCTATGCATTACCTTCGCATGGATAAATTTCTTTGAAAAGAAAACATTTAATAAAAATGGCCTCATATACATATCTGTCCGTTGTTTCCATGATTTCTTGTTTGGTCGCTTTGCAGCCTCCCCTCGTGACCTTCTTGTCCAAGCTGATTGTATAAATAAAACCTACAAGTGTAAACATACTGGTCGTTTATCAAAAGAAAACAAAATTTAAAAGTTACTCGACTCTCTTAAAACAGTAAAAGATTCTCTGAAGTGTCAGCAAGAGTGCTCACCATATTCAGCTTCCCTAAAGAAATTGGATATTGGAAAAGTTACTTCTTCTATTAATAGTTATAAGAATGATGTAAAGATGAATTGGAAGGTCAGCGTCGTTTTTTACGGATTCTTGTAAGACTTACTTGCGACTCAAATCTTTTTGGATTAGAAAAAATAGGAGGTGGTGCAGATAGATTTTAGCAAAATAAGTTGCCTCGTTCCATCAGAGGCGTTACTCGCTCCAAAAGAAGTTGCCTCGTTGCCCGGAGAAGACTCTTGTAAGGCATTCAATCTTTATTACAGCCCTTTAATGAGACGAACGGAATTCCCTTGATAACGTTTCAGTTCAGCCAACGCCATTAATGAAGACGTCTCTTGAGGCCGGTTTTCCTACAGTTCCCCCTGTAGTTAATGCTTCCGTTCCAGTTCAAGAGGTTTCGCCTATTGCCAAGAATGTTTCGCATTCGAATCCTTCCAGTACAGAGATTCTCAGCCCCCATGGTACTAAATTGATTTAAGGAGATCAAAGGAATCTCACCCTCTTCATTATTCTCGGAAAAAAGAAATGGTTGCTTCTTTTATAATTTTTCCAGAAGTTTCTTTAATCAATCCAGATGTTGAAGAAGGTTGTTTGCGACTCTTGGGCTGTTGGTGACACCAAAAAATTGAAGTGAGATTGAGAGGAGGAGTGATTTGAGTGATTGAAAGGGAGGTCATTTTATAGGACGGGATTTCATTGCTTCCCGGAGTTCGTTGGAATTTTTGTGGATGAAATTGAATTTACCTCCTCTTATTTCTCGGAGTAACTAAATTCAAATTTCTATTATTAGCTTCACTTCATCTTATTGATATACATCTTGGATTGGATTCTGCACATCCCCATCTTTCTTCTAGAACAATGGTTGTTTCAAGGGCTTTGTGAATAGGTCTGCGATTTGTTCATCATTTCGGCAAAAGTTGAGTTCAATAATGCCTTCTTTACACAAATCACGCAAGAAATGAAATCGAACATCGATGTGCTTACTCCTTCCATGCAACACAGGATTTTTAGACAACTTAATAGTTGACATATAATCACAAAATATAACCGTCGTACCTGGTTGCTTCTGATTAAGAATTTCAAGCATTTTTCTTAACCAAATTGCTTGGCACGAGCATGCTGCCACAAATTTTGCTTCCGTAGTTGAATGTTACAATAGGTTGCTTCTTTGAAGACCAGCAAATAGCTCCTGAACTCATCATGAAAATACTTCCTGAAGTACTTATACGATCATCTATATCACCTGCATAGTCGCTATTTGTATAGCCAACCATCTTCGGATCATCTTCTTTCTTGTAGAATACCCCTAAATCAAAAGTTTCTCTCACATAACGAAATATCCTTCTTGCTGCATTGAGATGTTTTTCCGTTGGTTGCTCCATGTAACGACTTATCATACTAACCGCATACATTATGTCTGGTCTTGTTGAAGTTAGGTAATCAAACTTCTCACAATTTGTTTGAAGTGCCTATTATCAACCTCTCGCCCTTCAATATCCTTGTGCAACTTCAAACCCAATTTTGATGGAGTTCCAAATGTGCGCTCATCCCATTTAAATCTTTCAAGTAATTCTGGAGCATATTTCTTCTGACAGATAAAGTTACATGCAGGAGTTTGAGTAACTTCTACTCCAAGAAAATATCTCATCAAACCAAGATCTGTCATTTCAAATTTCTTTATCATGCTCTTCTTAAAAAATTCAAACATTTCTTCATTATTGCTAGTAAATATTAAATCGTCAACATATAAGCAAATAATGATAATGTTACCTCCCTTTTCAGTTTTCACATACAACATATGTTCATACGGGCATTTAGTGAATCCCATCTTTTCAAAATGAGAATCAATGCAACTGTACCATACCCTTGGAGCTTGCTTCAAACCGTACAAAACTTTCTTCAACTTGTATACTTTTTCCTCTTTGCCTTTTTAAACAAAACCTTCTGGTTGCTCTTCTTGAAGCTCTCCATGTAAGAAGGCCGATTTCACGTCAAGTTGATAAATAGGCCAAGATTTCTGTGCTGCAATAGAAATTATGAGCCTGATAATATCTTGACGTGCCACAGGTGCAAATACCTCCTTATAATCAATTTCATACTTCTGCTTGTATCCTTTTGCAACGAGCCGCGCCTTGTACTTATCCACCTTACCGTTTTCATTCAACTTGGTTTTGAAAACCCATTTTACTCCCGATTGTTTTCTGCCCTCTAGGAAGATCAGTGAGCTCCCAAGTCTTGTTCTTCTCTATGGATTTGCTTTCACTGTCTATAGCTTCCTTCCATTTCTTCTCCTATACCGTTTCTTTATAGACAATTGGATCACTATCCATAAAGAATGCAAAATAACCACTATCACTTGATTCATAGTCCATCTCATAATCAATCATCCAATTTGGTCTCTTTCAGGTTCTTGGATTTCTTTGATTATGATCATGATCTTCTTCTACTGGTTCTTCTTGTTGAGCTTGTGATGAGCTCTCTCCATGCTCATAGTGAGGCTGAATAGGGGCTTCAGTTTGTTCTTCTTCAAGATCTACAGGAATCTGCTGATTCACAGTGATCTTTTCTTCCCATGTCCAAGTCTTCTTTTCGTCAAAGACTACATCACGACTTACCACCACCTTCTTTGTCAAAGGATCATAGAGCTTGTACGCATTAGAGGTCTCGCTTACTCCAAGGAACACACACTTCAAACTCTTGTCCTCAAGTTTCTTCCTTTTCTCATCAGGAATGTGTGCACATGTTATGCACCCAAAGATTCTAAAGTGGTCTACTGCAGGTTTTCTTTCGCTCCATGCTTCTTGTGGAGCCATATCTCTAACAAAAAAAGTAGGGCTCCGGTTGAGAATGTGAACGGACCACACGACAGATTCTGGCCAGAATTCCTTCGGGACTTCTCCTTTATTTAGTAAACTTCGAACCATGTTGAGAATGGTCCTGTTTTTCCTTTCGGCCACACCATTTTGTTGTGGTGTATATGCTGTTGTTAACTGCCTCCTTATGCCCTTCTCTTCACAAAATTTAATAAACTTTGTTCGAGTAGAACTCTCCACCTCTGCCAGTTCTTAAAGTCTTGACTCTTCTTCCAGTTTCCGTCTTCATAGTAGCACAAAAATTTTTGAAGCAATCAAAGGCTTCTGATTTGGCGTGCAAGAAATAAGTCCATGTTTTTCGACTAAAATTATCGATGAGGGTCATGAAATATTTCTTGTCACCATTTGATGCTGGAGAGATGGGACCACATATGTCTGAGTGAATCAACTCCAAAATTGCTTGAGCTCTTCTTGATTTTCCGGATGAAAAAGAATTTCTTTCATGTTTTGCTACTACACAGCTCTCGCAAATTTCTGTTGGAGGAGTAATATCTGGCAACACAGTTACCATCTTCTTTGAAGACAACGTCTTTAATCCTTTGAAGTGTAGATGACCATACCTAAAATGCCAAAGCCAGGTGGTATCTTTTTTCTTCACCATCAAACTTTTGGCAATGATATTTAACGTCAACGGATATAGACGGTTGGTGGTCATCTTCATCTTAGCAATCGATCCTCTTTTGGAGTCATAAATCTCACATTCATCATTTTGGAATGTGATCACATACCCCTTTTCTTATAACTGACCGATACTAAGTAAGTTGACCTTCAGATCATGAATGTAGAATACATTAGAAATAGACTCTATAAAGCCATTTCTAGTCTTGATATCTGCGGTTCCTTTCCCCATCACTTGGATAGTTGAATTGTTGCCAAGAGAAACCGTAGTATGAAAATTTTCATCCAGAGTTGAGAAAAAATCCTTACAACCTGTCATATGGTTGCTGCATCCAAGAGTCTACGACCCATACACCTTGATCTGCAACCTTCATAGCATGGAATGACATTAACAATGTTTCTTTTCTCTTCTCTCCATAAAATTGGATTGATCTATTTTCTCCTTTTGGAGCCTGGTATAGCATTCATTTTTGTAATGTCCAAAGCGTCCACATCGGTAGCATTCCACCTTGGACTTGTCAAAGTGTCTCTTGCCTTTGTTGTCATAATCGTTTCTGACTAGATCTGCTGACCTGCCAACATCTCCACTTCTTTCTCGACTGCCTCTCCCACGACCTCTGCCTCTTCTTTGCCCTCTACCTCTAGGGCTTGAAGTTTCACCTGGTGTGGATATCTTTAAGGTTGTCATCTCCTCTATTGCACTTGTACGATTGAGTCTCTGTTCATGTA